TGAACGAGCTCAGGATCATCGTTTTGGGCGGCCGCTATTCTCTCCAAGTTGATGGGTGTCGATGACAGTTGATTCATATGAGCGCGGGACAATGCATCGGCAACAACGTTGTTAGGACGGTCGATATAACGAACATCAACAAAAACTGTGAAAGATAGTCCAGATGACGCGTTTCTCGGGGTGAGTAACGGTCTGAGAAAGAACGGAAGGCATACACCAGTGGCTTGTTATCTGTCAAGAGAATGAAACGACGTCCTTCTAAAAGGTGACGGAAATGTTTCACAGCCAAGTACATGGCGAGCAGTTCACGACCAAAGGTGCTGTACCTGACCTGAGCAGGTTGAAGCTTCCGTGAGAAAAAAGACAGTGGTTGAAATTCGTTATCAACTAACTGTTGCAAAACTGCACCGACAGCAGAACTTGAAGCATCCGTCTTAAGGACAAGTGTAGCGTCCTCAGTGGTGTTCAAGTGATGGAGAAAGGTGACCTCACTGAACTTCTGCTTAACGGCCGTGAAAGCGGCTTCAACTTCTGGGGTTATCGTAAACGTCTTTGAGTTTCCTTTCAATAAGTCGGTAAGCGGGTGAAGCAAATCAGCACAGTTGGGAATGAAGCTGCCGTAGTAGTTGATCATACCGAGGAATTGGCGTAGGCTTCGGACAGATTGTGGCATCGGGTAGTCAAGGATTGCTTGAGATTTATCCGGGAGGGGTTTAATACCTTCACCATCGATCTTGTGACCGAGAAATTCGACGGTTGGCTAACCAAATTTGCATTTGTCCGGGTTGATGTTTATCCCGTGGTTTTCAAAGCGTTCGAAAACCATTCGGAGGTGTGATAAATGCTCGTCGGGTGAGGCGCTTGCGATCAAGACATCGTCAATGTAAACGTAGACGAAATCAAGGCCACGGAGGACCTGATCCATAAAGCTTTGGAAAGACTGTGCTGCGTTCCGGAGGCCGAAAGGCATACGGAGAAATTCGTAAAGGCCAAATGGGGTGATCACGGCAGTTTTGCGATGTCTTCCTCCGCCATTGGAATTTGATGGTAAGTTCTGACAAGATCGAGTTTGGTAAAGATTGACTTTCCAGCTAGTCCAAGGGAGAAATCGTGGATATGTGGGATAGGATACCAATCCGGAACAGTGACGTTGTTAAGAGCACGGTAGTCACCGCATGGTCGTCAATCGCCTGACTTTTTAGACACCAGATGGAGAGGTGATGACCAGCAGCTGTTTGAAGGACGAATAATGCCGAGATCAAGCATGTGTTGGAATTCCTTTTTAGCTGCCTGGAGTTTGTCAGGACGCAAGCGTCGAGCTTTAGCAGTTACAGGCGGACCGGTTGTAACGATATGATGGCGTACATCGTGTTTATAAAATAAAAATAATAAAATAATTATTTTATTCTCGACTATGCTAGGCACGCTCGTGGGGGCATGATCAGATATGTACAACGGTACAAACATTATAATGCAATTGTAACAGTAACGTAGAAAATTGTTCATATATCCATGATTGGAACTGTACAATGTTGAAAATGCGAAACAATAAGTTGGTTGTCGTGAGTTACGGGACCTCAGCTAATAAGAGATTGAGAATCCTGAATGATCCATTGAAAGGTAATGGAAGAGCTCGCACACAAGGAAGGAAAAGGGCAACGTGTCGTAGGATGTAAAACGACAACAGTATATACAGATGTAGAAGTCCCAGTGTGACGATCCTATGTAGAATTGTGACGCTAGTTGACCTGCCAGTGTAAAGTTATGGGCTGTGACTTTATGCGGTGGCGAGTCACATACGCCACGTTGCAGTGCTGTTAAACGGACATTTGTGGCTTTTTGTAGGGAGAACGCTTGCCAGGCGAAAACCCACCACGTCCTGGAACACTGCCACCAATCCATTGAATGGCAAATTGTAACTGGCTGTTTCTTGTTGAAAGTCTGTTTGCTCGGTTATTCGCAGTCAGGTTGCGTCCCATTTTTTCCGCTGGTTGATGCAATAACTGGTTGCCTATTGCGTTCCTGGGTCTTGTCCATTGGTAGGTCGCGTACTAAACATTCTTATTGAATATGATGTGTTGATCCTTCGCAGAACCACATGAAGTCTTCTCTGATTATGTATATTTGCCGGGGAGCGAAGAATTCGTGTCCAGCTACCCTCACTGGACATCGGTAGTTGGGTGCAAATAGTTAGAGTGGAAGTGAGGCCATGGTCCAGGTAAGTACTTGTTGGTTATTTCGTCCCATCCCAGACGGAGGCAGTTCCTCAGTTCAATCCCGAGCTCTCCGATGTTCACGACCTCAGAGAAAAGGGAGAGAGGAACAAGCCGAGAGAAGACCGAAAAGGAACAGTCAATGTACCTAGCGTTTGATCAAAATCCTACCTTAAGACATTTATTTGAGACAACTAGTGTACAAGGTGTAACAGATATTGCGCTTAAGATGTTTTTACTTATGCGGAAGGCATGGCCTGATGGGTAGAATACTTTCATGTGCATAGGGATGAAGAGCAGGATTCCGGTAAGATATTCATGAGGTGTAAGCTGACAGTGTTCGAATTCTACCTGAGACTAGAAAGTGGGTGCGTAGTCATGATTGGTTGTTATCGGAAACCAAAAGACAGTGACGATTTGGCCGTATTTGTATATGCTCCACAGGATAAGGATTACCTAAGACACCATAACTACATTGTACATAAGTATAAATAAATAAATAAATAAATAGTATATTCTCGAATTTCCGAGACACACCTGACCAGGCATGATCAACGTTTACAAGCAATTTATGTTTCGCAACAAACACGTTGCCATGTATGTAATCGGCAATAAGCCGAAAGTTGTCCAAGCTTTGGAAATTGTAAAATGAATCTTGAGGTATAAATTCGTCGAAACATGACGACAAGTTTGGTTATAGTGGGCGTAGTGTAAACAGGCTGGGCATTCCGTTTGTAGAGAAAACTTGTCTGGAAAACATTACATTAGGATTCAGGTCCGCTTGCCAGGATGTAGTTGTGGGCAGTGACTTTATTCAGTGGCGAGTCACATCCGCCACGTCGCAGTGTTGTTAAGCGGACACTTGTGGCTTTTTATAGGGAGAACGCTTGCCAGGCGAAAACCCACCACGTCCTGAAACACTGTCAGAAATCCGTTTGTACACTAATGTAAAACTGGCAGAGCAGCTCGTCGACTGATTTAACACTCGGTTAACCGCCGTCAATTGCCTTCTAATTTCCTCTGTTAGCTGAACAGGTTATTTTTGCTCTCGGCGGCCATAATGGCTGAGGCCTATGGAGGGTTAGACCTTCGTCATCTTCGTGTTTAGGTGAGAAAAACTTCCGTTTCTTGCTTCTATAATTTACAGGATTATGTATACTTCGCAGGAGTATAAAGGCGTCATGTCCAGCTACCATTACTGGACGACGGTCATGGTAGTGAGTGCATTTTTATCCAATTGTTGTACAGCCGTATTCTATGTAGGTCCTTGGGGGTTTCTATGTCCTGTCCCAGGAGCAAGCACTTTCACAACTAGTGCACGTTTCCATGAGCGCCATGTTGTTCCAGACATCGGTAGTATGGGAAGGGTGGTGTTAGGAGGTGCGGGTATATGGTGGTGTTGATGGAGTTGTGGTTTGGGTGGGGCCACCTGTTGGGATAATCGGGCCCTACTGGCAAGGAAAGGGGTTGGGGAGGGTGGGGAGGGTTGGGGGGGGCGGGCGGAGGAAGCGGTAGGGGCGTGGGGCGTTTGGGGGCGCGGCGGTGGCCAGGGAGGACGGGGGGGAGGGCGGAGGACGGGGGGGCGCGGCGGGGGTGGGGGGAGGGGAGACGGGGGAGGGGACTTGGGGAGACCGGGGGAGCCGTGTTGGGCTTAGCGCCGCCGGGGGGTGCGAAGGGTAGGCGGGAGTGGGAGTTGGGCTGTCGGTTATGCGGAACCGAGAGATCTATATTGGCCCCACCTTTCGGAGAGGGGTGGGGGTGGGGGGGGGGGTTCGGTTTGTCGGCGGGTTGGGGTTTGAGAGGGCGGGGTCGGGATATATTTCAAACGTTCCTTGAGGTCTCTGATTTGTCAGTTGGTTCCCAATTTTTGTCATGCTAGTTCTCGGGAATTCCGAGTTATGGGAGGCTTATGACTAAGGCAATTTTTCTGTATTGGTTGCATGTACCCGCAGTGACACAATTGGGGATTGGTTATGTTTGTTGGTTGTTGTTGGTGGGTTTGGGGTTCGGGGGGCGGGGGGGGGGGCGAGAGCGGTTTAAGTTGGGGGTTTCAGTTGGGAGCTTTTGTTAGGTGGTTGTGTTGGGCCATGTAGTTGAGTGGGTGAATGTTGCTTGTTGGGTATACTGAGCGGGGGGAGTGTGGTGAGGGGTATTCGGGGTGATGGGAGTTTTCCTTGGGGGGTAGGAGTGGGGATTGCTCGCGCAGGGAGCGGTTGGTTTGTATTTTACGTACTTTTGTTTTTTTCTTTTTTTGTTCGTTAATTTTGTCACTTTGCGTAGTTGAGATGCTTTGTTGTATGTTTGTGGTTATGTTTTTCTAATGATTGTTTGACTAGAGGGGTAGGGGGCAGGGGCGAGGGGAGGGGTGGTGCGGGTCGTAACAGGGAGGCGGGATGGGGGGATTTGGAAATCTGGGGGATTTAGTGGGATTTGCTGGAGTGGTCGGGGCGCGGGGGCGTTAGGTGCCGTGGGTGGGGCTCGGACGGGGTATATGAAAATATAAAATTATATATTAAATTAGCATTATAACGGTAAAAAAAAGAATTAGCAAAGAATTAACAAAAAAGTAAATTATAGATATCTAAAAAGATAAATATAATTAAATAAAGGTATAAAATAATATGAATATGAAAAATCTACAGAATTTGATAAAAGAATAATAAAAGATAAATGAAATATAATTAAAATAATTAATTCAGAATAAATAAAATTTATATATATCTTTATAATATTGTTAAACTATTAAAAAGTATGGAGCTTCATACTGTCTATCACTATACAACACTCATGACACGAATCCAGCGCGCTGAGCATTATCCGCTGTGTTGCTTAAAAACAGACAACAAGCGGTGCAGCCGGGAGCGAGACGTGAGTGAACAAAAGATCAAGATTCGGTCGGGATGGGGGGGGGGCTGTTTGATGCGGGGGGGGGAGGGGGATCGTCAGTTGGGTGGTCTGGGGGGGGAGGGTACAGAGAGCCCACTAAAAGAATATAAATACCCATCGCCGCCTCGGGTGTGGCCCCCAACACCAAACACACACAGACAGTGGTGGGGGGCGACAACACTTTTTAAGTTTTTGTTTCTCTTTTGGGGGTGTTGCATTCACTTGCAGCTAAGTTGGGAACGTTTTACTTTCAGTAGGTTTGCTTATGATTTATAATTACACGTGGGGGTTCTTGTGGATCGCGTGAGATTATTCCAGACTGTGCGGGTGGGGTTTTTTTTTTTTTTTTATTTGTTTACAAACACACAATTCGGTAAATGACAGAACGTGTGGTGTTGAGTCGCGATCTATCATGGCAGTTTTCCAGTATTATGCTACAGTAGCATGGGTCGGATGATCATACAAACCATGGCGCGTCTCTGGTAGTAATAACATATAGTCGAAGCATAGAAACAAAAAGCGCGTGAGTGGGGGGGGGTGGGGGGGCGGGGGTGTTGGGGGGGCTTCCACAAAGCCCCCCATTTTTCCAGTCCTCCTCTTTTGGGCGCGCTGGTCGACCTACTTTTTTTTCACGTGTACATGTCACCCACACCATAGGAGAGTCTTGTTTTGTTCTTGAATTGAGCATACCACTGTCGGCCGTAAATAACAGTCTGGCTCTGGCAGTCAGGCCCAGCAAGAGAACGACGTTTAGAGAGTGGGCTATATGGAATGGTTGTTTCAGTGGTTGTTTCTACCTTATTATTAATGATTGTTTTTTTAACAGAGGTGAGCTAGGTTAACGGAGGGGGGTTGTCTGTACGTCGGGGTGCTTCAGGGACGCCACCCCCCTCCCCCCAACCTCCCCACCGCCACACAGAAAGCGTGGTGTGTGAAGGTCTGTGATGCAGGTGGGGATTCGTGTGTGCTTGGGTGGGGCTGCACGGGGTGGGTTTAATACTGAGGCTAAGAAAAAAAAACAAACATGCCTCTACTCACCTTCCGCGAAACGGGGGGAAGAGGGGGGATGGGGGAGGCCACCCGGGTGGTCGGAGTCCCAGGGGGCCCCGGGTGGTTGTTGGGTAGGCGACCACACCACCACCAAGGACCGGATGGTGGTTGGGGGGACGGACAGCGTCGAAGTCGTAACGGTCACTGCCCAGCAACGGTGGGGACCCGCGTGGGGGGCGCTGTCCACGCGGGGCATCGCGGGGAGGACGAAGGTCGGGAGGGGCGGCCCGATTTTGGGGTGGGAGGGCGAGGGTCTGAGGGGGGGCCGGCAGGCGGGGGAGGGGGGGGGGGGGCGGGGCAGGGGATGGATAGGAGAGGTGGGGGGGGGGCCGGCGGGGGAGGGGCCGGAGGGGCTGGGTTGGGAGGCTGTCCAGGGTAGGGGGGACGGGCGCTGGCGGCGGGTGGGCGGGGTTGTTGCGGGCTCGAGTACGGCGAGGTCGGGTATGTATGGAGCCTAGATGTTGCTGGTTGGAGATGTTAATTTGTTTGATGGTTGAGCGCAGGCCCGTGTCGGGGTTGGGGACGCCTAACCGGTGGGCGCGGCGTGTTCTTGGTGGTTACCATTTCCAGCTTTGGTTGTCGCTGGTAATTATATACACAACTTTTCTTTACAGCTGTTTGGGAGGGTGAGTGTGGATGGGTGGTCACAAGAGACACAGTCACCACGGAACAAAGAAATCCCGATTTATTGATATTGGTTTGCACTTTGGTGTGTCTGCAAGCTGGTTAAGGGGTATTGTTTTGTGTTGGGTTTGTTAGGTGGTGTGACGCGTGTGTCGTGTTGTGACAATGGGAGGAATTGAGACAAGGGGGCTGAAGAATTTTGGATGGGGAGGGGGGGGGGGGGCGGGAGGGCGGCGGGGGGGGGGGAGTGAGGGGGGGGGCGTAGCGGGGCAGTGGAGGGGGTGTTGTAGGGTCCAGCACCTGCGCAGGGGAAAGGGGGTCACCGCAAAACGAGGTACGACCCAAAGAGCAGCAAGCCAACGTGCTCATCGTGGGGTGGGGTGGACCGGGGCGCGAGGGAGCACGCCGGCTGGGGGCAGACGACCACAGACCAGTGTGCTTGTTTTAAGTGCTACTTTATCTGTCTTTAGCTGCGCTTCTCCTGCGGAGAGTGTGTTTTTATGAAGCCCTGTTTTTTGGTTGAGGCGGTTTAAAGAGTGATAGATAGCAAGAGGGGACACCGTTAGTTAGGGGCGCAGCCCGCGTCGCTGTGCGCGGGCGCGGTCTCTACTTGCGGTGGGTTAGGGATCACAGGGCTCCCGGCACTCTTGAGGCAGCGCCACTGTGGGATCATCTGGCTTCCTACTGGGAGCCCACGCACCAGGGCGCGGGGGCACCGGCGGCGGCGGGGGGCGGGGGGAAGGCCGCGGACGCCGCGCAGCCAGGACGTAGAGCCCGCGACCGGCGATGCGGTGGGGGGGAGGCGGAACTGGCCTGGCATGCTGAGCCAATGGTTGGGGCTGAGGTCGGTGGTAGGTGGGGGCCGTCATGTGTCGGGGAGTAAAATAGTGACGGGTCGGTAAGGCTATGGGGGGCAGGGGGAGGCGGCCGAGTCGGCGCGAGGATATGCGGTGGGGGCGAGGAGGGCGTCTTTCTTAGGCGGCGGCGTAGAGCGCGCAGGGGGAGCGGCGCCGGGGTTACCCTGTGCCTCAATATATATCTACATCCCTTTTGACCAGACCGGCAGGCGACCATTTACCATGTACGTGGAAAAACACGACCGACCGAAAAGTGGGGGGGCGTGGGGCTGTGGGCTGGTTTTTTTTTTTTTTTATTTAGGTTTCTTTTTTTTCTTTTTTATTTTCTTGGGTCCGGGTTAAATCTGCGGGTAAGAATATGCCACAAATGTGGGTATGCTCTCTCTTGGCTGGGGGGGGGGGGGTTCTCCGCTTTGGTGGGGTTTAGTTGTGGTCTGCTGGGGTTGGCCACGGTTTGTCCGGTGCGGGGGGCGAAAATTTGTTTTTTCTTTTTGTGGGTGGCCGGGAAGGATGGTGGCATGCCGGGCAGTATGGGGGATTACAATTAACTTGGTACAGTGTAGCAGTGAGTAGGGAATCATCCCTACTAAATCCCTACTCATTCGATGGTGGGGGGCCGGGGGGATCGTTGGGGGGGGGTTAGGTGTGGTGTTGGGATGCGTTGGGTGGGGCCTGGAGGCGGGCGAGGGGGGCGGGGTGCTGCGGTGGGGCGGTAGGGGCAGTTTGGTTTAGTGGGGTGAAGAGTTTGTGCGGTTAAAAAGAAAAGAGAGCTCGAGGCTAGGGGGAGAGGGGTGTGGGGCGAGGCTGGGTGGAGGGGGATGGGGAGGGCGAGATGGAGGAAGGAGAGAGGGAGGGAGGGGGGGGTTGCAGTATGGGATGCTGGAGAGGTGGGTGGGGTGGGTCGAGAGGGGGGGGGGGGCGGTGGGAGGTGCGCAGGAGAGGGCGTAGGGGTTAGGGTGGGCGTGGCGGGCGGGTGGGGGTGCGTGGTGAGGGGTGGGTAGGACAGACGATGGGAGAGGTAGGGGTGGGGAGTGACGGGTATATGGGAAGGGGGGGGAAGGGGGCGATGGGGGGACGTAGGGGGAGGGTGGGAGAGAACTCGGGACGGCGGGGCAGCGTCTTTGGGCGGAGGAGTCGTGCCAATGAGGAAGGGCGGATGCGGGGGTTTGTTATGGGTTGTTCTCGTTTGTGTTTTGTGTCTGTCTGTGTGTTGATGCGTGTTTTGTAGTTGGTTTTGCTTGCTTTTGATTGTGTTTTGCGTATTTGTTGGTTGCTTTAATTGTCATGGGTTTTTGGTTTCTGTGTTGTTGTCGTGTTGTGTTGTCTGTTGGTTGTTTGTTTATCCTTTTGTTTTTGTTTTTGCCTTTGGATTCTGTGTTGTGCGTTTTTTGTTGTTTTGTCTAGTTATGGGGTTCTTCCGGTTGTTTGGGGTTGTGTTTTGTTTTTGTTGTGATTTCTAGGTAATAGGTGGTTTGGGCCATTGTTTCCGTTGGTTTTGCTTTGATTAGTTCTGTAGTTTTGGTTTTTCTGTGTCTTGTTGCTTGTTGTGTTTTTGCTGCTCGTTTGTGTTCATATTGTTGTTTTGTTGTTAGGTGCTTGTGTGGTTAGGAAAGGAGAATGGCTGGGGGACTGTTCGAGTGGTGGGGGGTTCCGGGGGGGAGTTAAATGATATGAAATGGATGCTGTCTGGAGGTGGTAGGTGGGGGGGGATGGGCTAGTGGGGTGCAAGGTAGGGGACAGGCTCAGCGCGGCGGGGGGGCCCGTTGACGCCCCGGTGAGGGGGCGGGGGACGGCGGGAGGGAGGGGGGTGGGCCCGCCAAGACCTGGCGGCACCTAGAGCATCTGTGTTTGTGCGACGCGGCGGGATTTATTTTCTTCAAGGTGAGGGGGGGGCTGGAAGAGCCCTGTAAGGAAGTGTACTGGGCGGCCCAAGACGGGGGGAAAACGGGGGGTTCGGAAAAAAACAGTCGCTAAGGAGATGGGCCGCGTATGTGTTGGGGGGTGTACCTGGGGGGTTACCTACTCAGCTCACCTGGCTTTTTTTTTTTTCTCTGTGGCACAAGCTGCGTCCGGCCCAGCTATTTCTTTTTATTTTATGTGGATATGCGTCGACACACCGATTCTCGGGGAAATCAAACGCCTAGGGGGGCCTGTCAGGGGAGCTGTGGAGATGGAGGTGATTCCGGTGGGGTGAGTGAGCCGGCAGGTGACCGCGAAGCAGTAGTTAAATGGCATTGATGCACACAAGGTGCAGAAGGCAACCGGGGGAGAGTGGGGCGTGGGGATGCTTACACCACACACACACACACACAAAAACCCATACACACACACACATAAACTAAAACCTTTGGGGGCGTTGAGCGTGGGGGGTTTGGGGTATATTATGATTGGTCTTTTGTAGGTTAATGGGTTCTTTTATTAGATGTTTGGGGGAGCGTCCGCCCAAGGTCTTTGGGTAGGTCGATGCAGGAGTGTGTTTGATGTGTGTAGGATGGGTATAGGATAGTAGTGTGCTTTTTGCTGATGGGGTCCCGTGACTTGTGGTTGTTTTTCCTCTTTTCTCTGGTTTCTGGTTGGGGTGGGAGGTGAGCGCTCGGATGACCGGCAGGGGTTTGATACCTCGGGGGTTCTTGTGGGGGGGGTTGGAGAGAGTGCAATATGACTGATTTGTTTAGCATAGTCGTTTTGACCCACACTAATGGTTTTACCATTCAGTTGCGGGATGTCTTTGAAATTTGTCAATATAGACGAAGCGCCGATATAGGAGACCAGGATAGTCAGAGTAATACTGAAGGCTGGAGGGGCATCCTGTGTGGTTAAATGGGACTACATTGACTATATACGGCACAAGAAGAGTGGACGCGACTATGATGTATCGGCGCGCCATAAGTGTCGCTGATCTCGGGGCCCAGCAACCTGGTGGTGTTTGGGTTTATGGCTTTGTAGGTCGTGGTGGTTCCGCATTACGGTGGCTCAGGTTATAGGTCATCTTAACTGATGTGCTGTGAGAATGCATTTACATTCCAAGAGTTATGAAATACATTGCTTCTAATGAGAAGTGCGAGGGAGCTCAGGGGGTGCAAGCTTAAGGTGGAATTACAGGCTATCGTCGTCGTGCTGTCTTTGTTTACAAGTGTTTGGGGATCGTGATAGGTGGGATCAGTGGGGGGTTCGTGACTAAGTCAGCAGTCTTGGGGGCATGGTGATTGCTCGGGTTGCGGCACAGCTCAGCGGGTTGTGGGTCAAGTGGATGGGACACCCGTTGGTGTATAGTGGTAAGGTGTTGAAGTGTTGAACTGTTTTTGGAGTTGTAAGGGCAATAGCATAGGTGAGATAGGAGCGCCGTGCAGCAGAAAGGAGGAGGAGGCTGGGTGCAAAGAGGAATAGAGCGGGAGGGGATTGTGAGCTGGATGGGGGCGGGGGGCCGGTCCCGGTTAGCGAAAAAAAATGGTGTGAAAGGGGGGAGGAAAATGCAGAAATGGCATATAAGGTAATAACGGTAGCAGGGGGATATCTTCCTTGGTGGGGAGAGGATGGCAGCGTCGCGAATTGCCCTCCGGTTTGGGACCGCAGATGACCGACTGCGCAAGCAGTGAGGCGGCGGGTATCTATATTCGGGTAGATAGGTACTTGGTGGCCGGGGGTGGGTGGGCGGGGGGTAAAGAATGAAGGAGTACGGGGGACGAGGTAGGGGGGGAGCACAAGGGTGGATGAGCGAGGAGAACGGGGGTGTGGGACCTTGTGTTGGTTTAGGGTGGTGTGGACAGGGTGGCCCGGGAACAACAGACAACGAAGGAGATAATTTTAGCAGGCAGGTTGATTGGTGGTGGAGTGAAGAAGAGAGTGTATATTAACTTTTGAACACGTATGGTGTTTTTGTTAATCTTTTTCTTTAGTGCCTCGTTGACTCTGGCTTAGCTTACACCTAGATTGGGATCCCATAGCACTCAATATTCATACTTGACTGACTCCCGGTATGCTAACAGTAGAGTTGCTTTGCTGGCGCTATTTCGTTGTACAGGGTTACTGTCAAGCTTTGTTGGGTTTGTCTGGATATAGAGACATAGGGGTGGGAGGTTTTCAGTGGAGGGGAAATAACGGGGGACGGTGGTGGAAAGTAGTGGCGATCCGGTTCCGGAACATGGAGGAGGAGGGTTGATGGGCGCATTTTTCAAGTGCGTGGGGAGAAGGTGTGTTTGGAGTGGGGAGGGACAACATCCTAAGTTGGGGGGCCAAAAGGAGCGGGGGATGAGGGGAAGGAGAGAGGGGTATCCGGGGCGGGACGCAGGGCAACGCACGGGGACACGATCGTTGCGACAGTGGGGCGGACTAGCCAAGCAGGGGAGTGGCGCACGAGAAGACATAGCCGTTTGACCTTACGAAGCAGGTTAGTGTGTCACTCCTAATTGGTCCGAGCATTACTGGCAGTACCAGTCGCGCACCCAGATGTTTCCCTTCATCCTGTTTATTCATCTCTCCCCGAGTGTTTTTGTGGTTTGACGTTTAGGTTTTTTTCTTTCCACTCACGATGGTCTTTCACTTCGTGCAATTTTTTCCTTATTGGAACTGTAACGGCTATGTCACAGTTCGTTCTCGCCTTCAATGTTTGTGTGGCCCCCTCATTTTTACATGTTGTTTCTAGACCTGCGAAAGGAGCCATAGCCAAAAGGCATAACCTTTCTTTGACACTCCAGCGTTCATTTTCTTTTAAAGTCTGTCTCCTTATTCGGCGCTTGTCTGTTGACCTATTCATTGAAACTGTAGGTATCCAGTAGTGGTCAAACTTCTTAATCATATGGCTACTCCAGCCTCGGATACATACTTTGCTGGAGCCACTATCTCTGCTTTGCAGCAGCTAGTCGCCATAGCCTCAATTCAACTTTACTGATACCCAGTGCTCTCAAGTAGGTGCTCCCTTCTTACAATGTTCATTCTCTTTGATTGTTTGCGTCACAGCTCAGTTGTTTGTTGACCTATTCTGTGCCACCGTAGGATCCACTAGTACCGGAAGCCTTAATCCGAATTCTAAGGCTAGCCACTTATCTCAATCCTAGCTCGCCGTTCTGCTTCGTCGCGTCACTCTTCTTGTCAGTTGCTAGTCATTGTTAGCGCCATGTAACCTGCAAAGAGCAACGACTTGACACTCCAGCTTTCATTTTCCTCTGACGTCTGTCTCCTTATTTGGCGCTCGTCTGTTGACCTATTCATTGAAAATGTAGGTATCCAGTAGTGGTCAAACTTCTTAATCATATCGCTCCACCAGCCGCTGATACATACTTTTCTAGAGCCACTATCTCTGCCTATAGCAGCTAGTCGTTATAGCCTCAATTAAACTTTGCTTATACCCCGAGCTCTCTAGGTGCTGCTCATATCTTACAGTGTTCATTCTCTTGGATTGTTTGCGCCACAGCTCAACTCTTTTTTGACCTATTCTGTGCCACCGTAGGATACACTAGTACCTGAGGCCTTATTCCGAATTCTATGGCTGGCCACTTATCTCACTGCTAGCGCGCCGTTCTTCTTAGTCGCGTTATTCTTCTTGGCAGTAGGTAGACATTGTTGGCCCCATGAAACCTACAAAGAGCAACTACCTGACGCTCCAGTTTTCATTTTCCTCCGACGTCTGTCTCTTTATTCAGCGCTCGTCTGTTGACCTATTCATTGAAACTATAACTATCATATGGCTTCACCAGCCACTGATACTTCCTTTTCTAGAGCCACTATCTCTGCTTAGCAGCAGCTAGTCGCCATAGCCTCAATTCAACTTTCCTGACACCCGGAGCTCTCTAGGAGCTGCTCATTTCTTACAATGTTCATTCTCTTTGATTGTTTGCGTCACAGCTGAGTTGTTTGTTGACCTATTCTGTGCCACCTTAGGATCCACTAGTAACTGATACCTTAATCCGTATTCTGTGGCTGGCCATTCATCTCTCTCCTAGCGCGCAGTTATCCGTTTTTCGTCTTAATCTCGTGCAATTTTCTTTGGCAGTAGCTAGTCGTTGTTGGCCTCATGTAGCCTGGAAGGAGCAACTTCTTGACACTCCAGCGTTCATTTTCTTTTGAAGTCTGTCTCCCTATTCAGCGCTCGTCTGTTGCTTTATTCACTGAAATTGTAGGTATCCAGTACTGGTCAAACTTCCTAATCATATGGCTACACCAGCCTCTGATACATACTTTTCTTGAGCCACTATCTCTGCTTAGCAGCAGCTAGTCGCCATAGGTTCCATTTAACTTTGCGGATACCCGGAGCTCGCTCCGTTCTTACCATGTTCATCTCTTTGATTGTTTGCGTCACAGCTCAGCTGTTTGTTGACCTATTCTGTGCCACCGTTGGACCCGCAGGTAGCTGAAGCCTTATTTCGAACTTTATTGCTGGCCATTCATCTCTCCTAGCGCGCCGTTATCCGTCGCCTGTCTTACTCGCGTTTACTTGACATGTGGTCAAAAGTCTTATTGATATGGTTGAATCAGCCACTGATACCTCCATTCCTTTAGCCACTATCTCTGCTCTGCGGCAGCTGTTTGCTGTATGCTCTATTCAACTTTGGGAATACTCCTTAGCTTGCTAGGCGTCAGTCCTTCTGTAGATTGTTTATTCTCCTGGTATAGTTTTTTCACAGCTCAGCTGGTTTGCTGTCCGATCCTTTGACACGGTTGTTATTCATTGGCACCTCGAATGATTAACCCAACAGGCACCTTTGGCCACTGATACCCGGTCCAGTATCGATATCTTCTGATCGTCTTACCTTCAACACTTAGTCTTCCTTTGATATCCATTTAATCTTAGCCAGCTTCTAATATGCTCAGCTTCCTATCTTCATATACCTATGTACATTGTAGTTATGGTGTCTTAGGTAATCCTTATCCCGTGAGCATATATTAATACGGCCACATCGTCACTGTCCTTGCGTTTCCGATAACAACCAATCGTGACTACACACCCACTTTCTAGTCTCAGGTAGAATTCGAACATTGTCAGCTTACACCTCATGAATATCTTACCGGAATCCTGCTATTCATCCCTATGCACATGAACGTATTCTACCCATCAGGTCATGCCTTCCGCATAAGTAAAAACATCTTTAGCATAATATCTGTTACACCTTGTACACTAGTTGTCTCAAATAAATGTCTTATTGTAAGATTTTGATCAAACGCTAGGTACATCGACCGTTCCTTTTCGGTCTTCTCTCGGCTTGTTCCTCTCTCCCTTTTCTCTGAGGTCGTGAACATCG